TGGGGTGAAATGATAAAAAAAAAAAAATAAAAAAAATTGCCATGATGGTTTAAGGCTTTTCTGTAAGCTCTCCGAATTCCAAAGATTTGGTCATTCTGTTAATCTCTCAAAACAAATCGCATCCCTATCTGTTTTGCGGTTTGCGCTGGGTTGATGGATTTTACGTTTGGTTTTATTTGTTTTACGGCATATCAACATCTCATTGGGTTATTTAATGCTGACAAGATTTTTATTGCTGCTAATATTTTATAATTTAACATTTGTATTGTTTTAGTTTTAAGTCAAGTATTTAAAAAATTTGGAATTTGTTCATCTTTACATCAAGAAACTGATTCGATCCATTAGTTGTTTGGTTTGGTTTGTTTCTACGGCATATCAACACCTCAATGGGTTATTTAATGCCGACAAGATTTTTTTTTTGCTGGCAATATTTTATAATTTAACATAATATTATTTTTAGTTTTAAGTCAAGTACAAATTCCTTTCTTAAGGATGTTCATCTTTACATCAAAAACTGATTCGATCCTTTAGTTGTGGGTTTGGTTTGTTTTACGGCATATCAACATCTCAATGGGTTATTTAATGCTGACAAGATTTTTTATTGCTTTAATATTTTATAATTTAACATAATATTGTTTTTGTATCTTTTAAGTCAAGTAAATTTAACCCTTAAGGATGTTCATCTTTACATCAAGAAACTGATTCGATCCATTAGTTGTTTGGTTTGGTTTGTTTTACGGCAATCAACACCTCAATGGGTTATTTAATGCCGACAAGATTTTTTGTTTGCTGGCAATATTTTTTATAATTTAACATAATATTATTTTTAGTTTTAAGTCAAGTACGGCGCCTTTCTTAAGGATGTTCATCTTTACATCAAGAAACTGATTCGATCCTTTATATGTGGGTTTGGTTTGTTTTAATATATCAACATCTCAATGGGTTATTTAATGCTGACAAGATTTTTATTGCTGATAATATTTTTATAATTTAACATAATATTGTTTTTTTTTTTAAGTCAAGTTATATTTTGGTTTTCTTAAGGATGTTCATCTTTACATCAAGAAACTGATTCGATCCATTATTTGTTTGTTTTGGTTTTTTTTTGTGGCATATCAACACCTCAATGGGTTATTTAATGCCAAAAAAATTTTTATTGCTGGCAATATTTTTATAATTTAACATAATATTATTTTTATTTTTTTAAATCAAAGATGGCGCCTTTCTTAAGGATGTTCATCTTTACATCAAGAAACTGATTCGATCCTTTAGTTGTGGGTTTGGTTTGTTTTACGGCATATCAACATCTCAATGGGTTATTTAATGCCGACAAAATTTTTTATTGATGGTTTTATTTTTTTTCTTCAAAAATCTATTTCTGGTAATATTTTTCCTTCAAAAGTTTATTAATGGTAATTTTTTTTAAAAAAATATATAGCTGGTAATATTTTTTTTTTTCAAAAATGTATTGCTGGTAATTTTTTTAAAACTTATTGCTGGTAATAACGTATTGTTGGTAATAATTTTTTTACAAAGTTTTTATGGTATTAAAACCTATTTTTACACTTTCATGGTGTTTTGATCCAAGTTTGAGAGTTCCCTATTTGCCTATAGCTAGAACCCTTACAGGTGCTACCACCCTGGGTCAGGGTAGACTGGGAAAATCAGCAATTAAGAAGTGGTTCCACGCTCCTCAAAATCGCCTTGCTGTTGGACGTAGTTTACCGTCTTACCCAGGACCCGGATGTCCTAATCTAATGGATGTCAGTTATCAGTTATCTCCTGTTAATTCACCTTTCCATGTTCTCCAATGCCTTAACCAGGTATTGAACTCACAAATCTTGGGGTCCTCTCACTGGATCTAGCCAACGCTTTTATCTATTTACCATGTTTCCTTAAGGACATCTGTGTATGAATTTCTGGGAATGATAAACTTAATGTCTGCACTTAACAATTTTTTTCAGTGCTCATATTGCAATTTTTGCTATTATCATTGCATGATTTTTTTGTTTTTTTACCAGAGCTCATATTGCAATTTATCGTTATTATTATTGCTTTTTCTCTGTCACTCCTTATTACTGGTACCCATATTGTATTCATTTCTATGCGTGGTCGACTCAGGAAATCTTTGTGGCCTAGCATATGTGCTGATTCATTAAGTTTACGAATTTTCCTATAACGTTCTTTGTCTATGATTTCAACCTGATTCCACAAAAAATTGGTCTCCTTTTCTCTCCATACCTTTTCAAAAAATAGACAGATACTCGAAACATTGTTCGTATAACAAAAAAATTAAAATGATGCTCTGCAAAATAACATTAAGATATGATAAGAAAGATGTCTGAATAATACTGGAATGTACAACGACCGAAAAGTTTTGTGTTTTTAATTCAACCTTATGATGCTGGTTTTCAAATAGAAAGTATATAATTTTTTGATCTTTAAAAAGAAGGCCGGAGTGGGCAACGATTGAAACGTTGTGAGCATGACACCCACGATTAGCACACTGATCCGAATGCCAAAATATATAGTAATCCTAAATCCGGGTTTCTGATAAATTCGAAAAATATCCTCTTCTCATTTTCACACGAAAAGAAGTGGGTCTTTTCTTTAACCAATCTTAGAAATTTTAGAAGGTGTATAGCGCCATAGTCATAGTCAATATCAGATGTCTGCAAAGGAGTCGTTCTCTCAAAATGGATTTTAGCATATTAACCCTCACCTCACATTATCTGCAAACAATTTGGGTCATCCGTTATTTTTAATATTCCTTACTAACAAATTCATCGTCTGCTTAAATAGAGAAACATACAATTCGATTAATTCCTCACTGTATTCAGACAAATGCCGGAAGTGATGCGCAAGACGCCACGCATGCGTAGAGAAGTGGGCGTGTAACTTCAATTAAACTTGATTGAATTGTCGGCCACATTGCATCAGATGAATGACAACGGCTCCTCGTCTTTCACAGGTTTTCTTTTTTTCATTGCATTATTTTTCGCTTCATATTCTTTTTCTCCGCACATTTCTTGCTTTTTCTATCGTCACTTCCTCTCTTTCTAATGTTAGTTGCTTTTTATATCTATCTTTTTTTCTCTTCTCTTTTTTCTCTGGTTTTTCTTTCTGTTCCTTTTCATCGTTTGTTTTTCTATATCCAACACTCTTGCCCCTTTTTCGTCCTGCTTTTCTCTCTTCATCTCTACTATCACCTCTTTGTCTTCACCTGTTTCTCACTTTCTTTTTCTCACTCTTTTCGTTGTCTTTCCTCACACCTTTTTCAAGCCCACCCACTCCCTGTATTTTTTGTTTGCCTCTCTTTCTCTCTATTTGAATTCGTATTTTGTCTTGTCTTCACCTGTTTCTCACTTTCTTTTTCTCACTCTTTTCGTCATCTTTCTTCACACCTTTTCAAGACTCCCCCACTCCCTGTATTGTCTGTTTGCCTCTCTTTCTCTCTATTTGAATTCGTATTTTGTCTTGTCTTCACCTGTTTCTCACTTTCTTTTACTCACTCTTTTCGTCATCTTTCTTCACACCTTTTTCAAGCCCCCCTCAAAGATAGATTCTTTTGCCTCTGTCTCTATTTGAATTCGTATTTTGTCTTGTGTACTTTTCTTTTTTTTGTTAATTTCATCCAACTTTCGCGCTTTTTTTTCTCCCCTTATTCCTCTTTTTCATTTGGGCACCCCGCGGCGGTGTAATGGTTAACAAGCTTGTCTAGCTAGAACAATTACGACTGAGTTGTGACTTCGATCCTCACTGGGCGCCCCATACTTTCGGCCTTGTGCCATATCTGAGCTACGCTCATTCAAATTTATCCTTATCCCCACATCTTTCTTTATATTTTTCCTTCATTTCTGTTTTTCTTTCTTTCGTTCTTTCTTTCTTTTTTTTATTTATATTGTCATTCGTTTCTGTCATTTTCTTTCTTTAGTTTTTTCTTTCTTTCATTAAATGTAATTTCGTTTCTAACTTTTTTACTTTCTACAGTTCTTTTTTTTCTTTAAATCTCCCTTAATTTCATTTTTTTCTTTTTTAATTACTTTTATTTTCTTTCTTTTTTACGTTAACTCTGCATTCGTTTCCACCTATGTTCAGTTGCTTCTTTCTTTTTTGAATCGCCAATTTTATCTTTCTTTTCTTTCTTTCTTTCTTTCTTTCTTCGTTGGTTGCTTACTTCATTTAAATCTCCTTTTCTTTCTATCTTTTTTCTTCCTTTAGTTCTTTCTCCATTTAAATCTTCCTTCGTTCACATTTTTTCTTTATTCAATTCTTTTTTTGTCTTTTCTTTCTTTTGTTTTTCTTTCTTTCATTTTTCTTTAAATTTATGATTTTAAAAATTAAAAAATTTTAAATTTTAAATATTTTTTCTTTCTACATTTCTTTCTTTCTTTTTCTTTAATCTCCCTTCGTTTCTATTTTTCTTTCTTTCTTTCGTTCTTTCTTTCTTTAAATCTTTTAAATCATTTTACTTACATTCTTTTATTTGTATTTAAATCTTTAATCATTTTAATCTAGTTTTTTCTTTCGGTTCCTTTTTCTTTCTTTTTTCTTTTCTTTGTTTTTTCCTTTCTTTCTTTTTTCCTTTCTTTCTTTCTCTCTTTATTCTTTCTTTCTTCCTTCCCTTCTTTGTTTCTTGAAGTCTCCCTTCGTTTCTATATTCTTTCTTTCTTTCTTTCTTTCATTCGTTCTTTCTTTTCCTTTAGGTCATTTTTTTATTTATATTTCTTTTCGTTAAACACTCTTCATTCACGTCACGCTCTCTCTCATTTCTCCTTTAACTTACTCATCTCCCTCTTTGTTACACTTTTTTCTCTTAATTTTTTTTCTCTCGTTACGTCCTTACTCCGTTATCTTTTTTTCTTCCTCTATCTATAGAAAAACTCTATTTCTCCCTTTCCCTCTTATAGATTTCTTTTTATCCCTCTCTCCACTTTACCATCACTTCCTTTTCACTCTCTTTCTCTTTTCCTTTTATCTCTCTTTCGCCTTTCCGCTTT